GGGGGTGGGGGTGGGGAAGATGCCTCCTTGCTACCCGTCAGTTTGCACCTGGCTCCGAGTATCATTTTCTATCTCAAGTTTCTAAACCCAGCCATATGTCCCTGCCAAATACCAAACTGAGGTTTCCCCCTCTTCTGCTCCACATGACCCCCAGACCTTTTGAGATTTGGTGGTTTTGCAGTAAGCAAGACAGCAAACAGAGGTAAGTTTGATGGTAATGGTAGAAATAGAAACTCCAGCCCAGCAGAAATAATTCAAAGTACCCCGGAGTTTATGGCAATTTAGTTGCTTTTCTATAAGAGGCCTTAGAAGAGCAGGAGATACTATGTATGGTCTCAGGACCTGTGTTGTGTTCGAAGAAACCTGCTCTACCTACATCTGCAAATACTTCTCATGGGTCTCAGCTAAAGTTTAAATGACCTCTCCAAAGAACAGAGTGCTGTCTCCTGTGTGCCTGGGAGGAAAAAATCACGTTTGGCCTTGTTTTACAAAGTAGATCTCTTGAAGAAAATATTTTAAAGTACATAATTCTTACCAACTGATATACAGAAAAGCGACAAATCCTAATAGGATCAATCCCTTCTTCTTTGCTGGGTAACGGTGTGGCATGGCAAGGATTTCCAGGACGGCAAATGGCAATACAGCTGTATGCTGAGGAGAAAAGAGAGTCTGTCACTGACTGGTTGCGGTGCCTCACCTTTGGTCATTGCTGATCATGAAGTTCAAGAGCCTGCCTGTGAGCAAAGGTTTTGTTAACAGTACTGAATGTAATCGTATACAAATATGCATACTTCAATTTTTTTATAGTGAAGAAGTACCCTTGCAGTAACAAGCACGGAAATTTTCTTGTTAGGATGCTGTAAAAAGTCAGGTAATGAGGTCTGCCATAGAATGATCTGTGTTACTTTGTAATAGGTGAGCTTTCCTTTTACATTTTATAATGCAATAATTTTTTTGGTAATTCCCATTACAGTACAAAAGATACTGAAGTCTACTGTTACGTGTGCTTGAGGATGTCAAAAGTCTCCTCGCTGAGCTCAGTAAGCAATTGCTGAGTTGCCTTCATGTTCTTTTCAAGTTGTTATTGTATTTTGTATATAGTTATTTGTTACTTACTCCAGCACAATCGCAATGTGTTGTGCTTCTCTTTGTAAACTGAAACACATGCTGGTAAACATACAGGGGACTTAAGTTACCTGTGATTCAAGATGGTGACAGAACTTCAAACCAGCTTAACCAAGAGTTTCTTGGTGAAGCTTCTTTTTCCTTTTTTTCTTCTCTCTCTCTTTTTTTTTTTTTTTTTTTTTTTTTTTTGTCAAAAAGTTTAAATTGTATTAAGCGGTTTCAGTTTCAAGGGTTTTTAGAATGCTAACTGTCTGAGCATAGAGGATTTTCAGCATGGGGCAGATGGCTTGGTGGTACTGACTGTTTTGTTGTGTGGAGCTGCCTCCAAGAGGGATGCTCCTCACTGTGGGGACGTTGGGAGCACAGCAGAAGTCCTCCTGGCCTTGGATGTTAAATGTACAATGTTGGGATGCTAACATCTCAACTTGTTGGCTGATTTGTGGCAACTTCAGAAAATAATTTCTTGGGGAGAAATCTCCCTGCTAAAAGTTTTGTAATATTCCCTGTGCAAGCAAACTATAGTTTTAAGTTGCAATACCTCAGACAGGCGGCCTAAACAACACTGGGGAATGCCACCACAAAAAAAAGTCAATGAGTTGCAATGGGAGAAAATCATAGCAACAACTGTAGCTCACTAGTTGGTTAAATTCCTGTTAATTAAGCAAATAGTTTCACAGATAGATGGGAGGAGGAAGGGGGCAGATGGTAGTAGGGAAAGATAGATAGACTTTTAAAACACCCAACTAATGATTTTCGGTTTTCCCTGAAGGCACAATGTCCTGGGTGTACTGTATGAAATGTTTCCTCTTGTCCCAAGGAAGCAGTCCTAGCACCTTCAGCATACATATATGTCAGAAGCTGTGCTAAATATCTGATACGGTGGTATGGTGTCAGTCCTATTGCTCTATATTTATAGCATAAGTTGCCACAAGTCCACATGAAATTCTTTAAATGCACATTGAGCTGCATACAGGATGCATGAAAACGTTCTTTACCTTTGTTTGAGAGGCAGACATCTGTTTTTTTCTGCTGCTGTCAAGTGACAGCTCACTGGAAGCTGAAAGTCCTTCCTCAGTCCCCCCAGTGCATCCCTAGGAGCTGCTATTCGTACCTGGCTGTCCTACAGCCAAAATAACCCTTCCATCTCAGCTATCATTTTTCAGAGAAAAGAGATACAAAAGATTTATTTGATGTTCCATTTCCTCTCACTGAGATTTTCCTCTGGTCTGTTTCACAAAGATACTCTACAACCAGCTTGGTTAATAGCAGAGGTCTTGCTGTACCAGTACAAGTGATTCCTGGATTCATTTAATCAGAAAAGTAACTTCAGTGCACACAGTTTTCATATACAATCCCTCTAACAGTCTTTTAGTCAGACATCTGTGTGTTAAGCTGCTTTTAGAATGATTAAAAAAAGTTTATTTTCCACAGGTGGTCAATAGTTTGTCCTTGAACAAAATGAAAATGCCCATGCAAGACAGCAATGGTAGAAAATTGCACTTTGTCCTCACTTCTAGGCTTTAGCCTTTCGCAGTGGATTTGTCCATTATGCGAAGTGGATATAAGACCTGGTTTTCATCTGACATCCAGTGGGCTACAAAATTCCTTTGGGATACATGAAATGTCCTTGCTAGTCTTTTAATTAATTTAAACACTTTTAACAACTATAAGCTGGTTGTTCCAGCTGTGTTATTGCTGTCCTAAGAGGGATTTAGCAGGAGCAACCTGGTGAAACAATCCTTTGTTGAAGTGAATAGTTTTTAGGTGGGGGTTATTTTATGTACTTATTTCCTTAGTGTGGGGCTTTTTGTTCTCAGAGTGAATGTTAAATAAGCACAAGTCAGCAGTACGATGCTGCTTTAATAGAAAAAGCATGTGGCATTCTGGGATGGAATAACAGGAACGTTGTATGTAAGAAAGACCTGGGAAGTAACTATGTTGCTCCACTTGAATTGGTGAGGTTTTGGCTGGCACTGTCTCTGGTTTAGGGCACCCCGTTCTGACAGGTGGAGCACATTCAGAAGAGGACAGCACAAACAGCAGGAAAGTGTGAACAGTAAAGCAGTCCAAAGATAGACGTAGAAATCAGGGCTGAATGCATTGTGTGTCTAGAGAGAAAAGGAAAATGAGAGAGGTTTCAAAGGCTTGAGAGGTTGATACAGTGATGGCTGCAATGGGTGAGTTCTCCATGTCCATCGCGGCTAGGACCAAGGGTAATTGGTTCAATCCTCTTCAAGAGAGATATAGCTTTATACTGAGAAATATGTAGCAAGCACAAGCAGGGGAACGACCACCTAGAGGAGTTGGGCAAGCCCTTTGCAGGAGAAGCTAGACAAGAAGTTGAGTGTGATTCTGCCAAACCACCCTCTGGGCATCTCTGACCCAGCCTCAGCTTTCCTCTGAACCAGCTACCCAGGGCCGTGCAGGCTCCAGAGCCAGTGCAAGTGCACGCATCTAGAAGCAGAGGATGAAAACATGGAGAAATGAGGGCCCTCCTCTTCTGATGGGAGCAAGTAATCACGGCTAAGACCACCAATGTCTCCACTCGCTTAGCATTTACATATCTGCATGTACATACACTCCATTTCTTCTCTTTCTCAGTTCATACTTCTTTGCGCTGCCTTAGAGTACGCAAATCCCCCAAGAAAGGGGGAAAAAGAGAGAAAAACTGAGCTTTGCACCTCATTTACAATTTCTCATTTGCCCAATGGGCACAAGCAGCAGCACGTCGGGTGATGGCCAGAGGCACACTGCAGCAGCACAGGAACAATGCATACACAGCATGATAGGGTCACAGAGAGCAGCGAGCTGGGGGTGGCGATGGGGAGCTCTCTGCTCTAGCACATGTGTTGGCACTGCAGATGAGTAGCAAACTGGTAGTGGTTGCAAAAGACAGTTTCTTTTTATATTGTGTTGATTTAGAAAATGCTGATTTGCTTCACTAGTCATTTTTTGGCGGGCTTCTCTGCTTTTGAAGGAGTTAGAGAAAATACTCAGAGGCCCGTAAATCAAAAGGAGTTTGAAAGTCACTGGCAAAGCTGGAAAATTTGGCTGCTTTCGGAAATAGCCAAGAGTTTAGTGGAAAGGGTAGTTTCAAATTTCTGCTCTGCCTCATTCGCAGGGGCTTGAAGCCGAGCTTCCTGCTCCTTGCAAGAGTGCTTCCACCTCCAAGAGCAGCAAAAGCATTCAGGAGGGGAGTTGTCTGCCTCTTGTTTTGTTAAAGGCCTTGGGTCTATCCTGATTCAGAAAAAAAAAAAAAAAGAAAAGAAAAGAAAAGAAAAAGGAATTTTTTGTGGCATAGGAAAGCTGCTTTCTTCCTAAGTCCAATGATGACACTGGCACACGAATTATTAAAGTGTGTGCTGCATCTTCTGTATAAATAATTGTGTCTTTTAAAAAATATTTTGCCATATATTAATCCAATTTTGTTTATTAATAGTCAGTTAGCTTATTCCTAGTTAGAAATAATCACTGTGTATATTGACTAGACATGCTTCTTGTAGGGCCATTTAAACTTGCCATGTAAATGCTTTCTCCAGACAGATTTCTACAACAATTCTTAGCTACTTCCTGCACCCGCAGGATGAAAACTTTTAGATTTAGCATTTTTCCTTTGTGGATATAGAGCTGCTTTCCCCACACACACACACACACTTCCTTCTCATGTACACATACACCCCAGGCCAAATAAACACATGGGACAATCTTCCCTTGCACTTCTGCTATCCCAGAGTCTACTGGTGACTTCACATATTTTTGCCAAGTCCGGTTTGTCCATTAATGGTTAAATCACAGTGGAATTTCTACCAAATAACCCAGCATGTTTACAACAGCAGATGCATATTTATACAGCAGGCAGCAGGGGAACACAGGGCTGGCTATGGGGTGCAAAGCCTGCTCTTCGCCTCTGGCATGCAATTGGCTTTCCAAATGATTTCCCTCTCACAGCCGATAGACGTTGACTTTGGCAGCATCACTAGTGATAGACCATAAATCATGGTTAATTGTATCTGCTGAAAGGCTTTAAAGATTTCTCATATCCTTCAAAAAAAAAAAAAAAAAAAAAAAAAAAAAAAAGATGTATTTTCTCATTTGAGTTATTTTATCATAGGTCTCTAGCGCACAGTCATTAAATATACTCTCAACTCTCTTTAGCTGTGCTTTTTACCCTTAAACTGACATTTGTCTGAAGAGTGTGGTATTTGTACAGGGCGAAATTCAAACACATAGTTTTTCCTCTTGCTTTAAAGAAAACTTAATAATTAAGCTCAGATTGACACAGATCAAAACATTGGCAAAAATTGCTGGAAACAGTGACTCATTTTTCATTTCAATTAACAGTTTCTCAGTTTCACGTATAAACAGTGAAACTGTCAAAAATAATTATCACAGAGGGAGAAAAAAACTATTTCACTCCAAGGTAAGGAAAACAAGCTAAAACAATAACTGTGTGTACGGATCAGGCTATCAATGAACCTAACTGAATCAGAGAACTTTTGTCTTCTCTTGGCAGGAATCCTGTTAGT